AACAGAAATATGTTATAAAATCACTACAAAAATAGCCATTTTGTATCAACACTTCCGGTGTCTTATCAAGTGATGTTGTTAAATGTAGAATAAAGGGTTTTGAAAGGTTCAAATCGACGGGAAACGCTGCAATGACCAATCAAAATACAAGTATATGAGAATTCAAAAAACTTGACAACGAACATTGGTTATAATAATTAATGCTTTAATGTTAAGGTTAGACTAAAATAGAAATCATTCTAATTAATATTAAATTTTAGTATAAAATTGAAAATTAAAAATTACCAATTTTAAATTTAGCCTGTATTCAGTTTAAAATATTATAGAATTATTTTATAATATATTTATGTTATAATTTTCGAACAAATTATATTTGCTCTACTCTTTTAAGAATAGTATTTTTTGGGTTATTTGAATTTATTCCGTATATATCAATCCTATACTTGGATATATATATATATATATATATATATATATATATATATATATATATATATATATATATATATATATGTTGTAGGATCCACCTAATTTGCATAGTGGAGTACCGACCATATAAATATGGTTGGTACCGGGAAGAGAGTGAGGAATCAAGAGATTCAACCAGAGACTCTGCCCGACTGCGACTCAGTCAACACATTCGCCAGGAACGGTCTTCCCAGGAATATACAAAAGACTATATGTAAATATTGCGTACACTTTCTTGTTTCAATACATTTTGTTCTAAGTACATTTTGTGTTGCATTATTATTCCATGCATTAGTCAAGTTTCAACAATATATTAATTACAATGAATCATTCATACAAAAAGTAGATTAGTAAAGTTAATGATATAAAATGGCGAAAACTCTTCGCAAACAAAATTTTAAAGTTGAATTAACCTACGAACCACTCGATGAATGTTATGATTCTTGTTTTTGATAACTTCAAGTTGTAAAGGTCTTTTTTAAATCTGCTAGTACTTTCGGCTGTACATTCAGCCATCCTCAGGCATGGAAATTATTTTGTTTTTAGTAAATCGAAGTAGTAACGGAGACGAAAGATTAAATACGAATCGAAATATGTTTTTTTTAGAAATGTGTTATTGTTAACGGATAAAAACTTTTTTTTATTTTATTTCCATGCCTGAGGATGACCGAATGTACAGTTGAACGTACTAGCAGATTAAAAAAAAGACCTTATACAACTTGCAGTTACTAAAAACAAAGATCATAACATTCACCGAGTGGTTCGTAGGTTAATGCAACTTTAAAATTTTGTTTGCGAAGAGTTTTCGCCATTTTATATCATTAACTTTACTAATCTACTTTGTGTATGAATGATTCATTGTAATATAAATTGAACTGAACCACATATTTGATTTAAAAAGAACTGATCCGATGTGCAAATTTTCGGGATAACAGCTGAGACATTACTCTATTTATTGAACAATTTAGTTCATGCCACATTGACTGAAAAGCTCCTACAACAAAAAAAGTTCACAAATTACCATATTAGTAAAAAAAAAAAGCACTCTCTTAGATTTAAAAAAAAATCCAACCTTAACTTTGCAACTGCACGCTCCAAAAGTTTTTATTCGTTAACAATAACACATTTCTAAAAAAACATGTTTCGATTCACATTTAATCTTTCGTCTCCGCTACTACCTGAATTTACTAAAATCAAAATAATTTCCATGCGTGAGGATGACTGTATGTACAGTTGAAAGTACTAGCAGATTAAAAAAAGACCTTATACAAATTGTAGTTATTAAAACAAGGATTATAACATTCATCGAGTAGTTCGTAGGTTAATTCAACTTTAAAATTTTGTTTGCTAAGAGTTTTAGCCATTTTATATCATTAACTTTACTAATCTACTTTTTGCATGAATGATTCATGTAATATATATTGAATCGCACCACATATTTGATATATATAAAATGGATATACTTTAAAAAAATTAGGTTTGTCTGAAACATGGTCAAATTCTAAAACTGAAAAAGGATGATATTGTATCGTCATTAGAAATCCTGGATTTGAATATACAACTCTCTCAGTCATACGGCTGGCCCATCTGTACTAAATCGATATCTATCTATAAAACGTACCATATCAGCCAATAAGCATTATTAAATCAATAGTTGTTACCAGCTGTGGCATTCGTGAGATAATTTTGCCTGTTTTCTTTGTTGGTTCATGTGACTTAGAAAAAATAGAATGTTAATCTTTAGTAATGTTTAACAAATTAAAATTTTAATGAAGACAGCTGACAAGGAATTGCGAGTAAAAGTTTTTTATTTATATTTTTCTTGAGTTTCTAGAGATTCTTTAAAAGCACAACCGAAAAATAACCAACAAAACCACCCGAACTGAATATGTCTAATATCTCCGCCTACACTTCTATATTTTTATTTATTTTTCTCAATAGGAGTAAATAGATTTGCATACCGCCCGGTTTACACTCCTTAACCGTCTTTTAACCAGAGGTTTATCCCTTGGTTTCCGATTCTTTCTTCTGATACCTTAATATGAGTGGCTGTCATAATATTTTGGTGATATGACTAACTGGAGGCTACGATTGTTCATACTAAGGTTACCAGGTTGGCAATTCTCTGGTTTCTGCATCTCGACTGGTAATAAGATTTCCGTACTTTTTGGTAGCGTGTAGAGAGTCACATAATGTCGGGACACCTACAGTGTCATGTCGCGCATGGATAAGTGTTTCTGCGTGCACTTCTGATGACCAGCCCCGAGGTCACTCTATGCTGTAGTCTTCACCATCTTCTGACCGGCTTGTATTGCCTTTGTCAGTCTAACTCAATTACATCAAACATCAATAAGGCCGTGTTTGGAAAATAAAACATTCCAATAAACTCTAGTTAAATACTTAAAAATATCTATACTTACCGTTAAAAGTAAAAATAAAATCATCCTTGATGATGGCTAAAAGTATAGCTGGAAACGCTCGAACGTACAGATCATTCGGACAATTTCTACAGAATTTATGTCCAGAAAAGAAGAAAATTATAAGAACACAATAAAAATTAAATAAAAAACAATCGCAGTATATATATATATATATATATATATATATAGAGAGAGAGAGAGAGAGAGAACACATGCACACATCAAGTACTCCAGACCAGCTGTAATCTTCTGCTGAGCGCAGTGCTTCAGCAAAGTTTCGGCCCATTAAGCTCAGTACCTCTCCACACGGTGGGCCCGCAACAGCTGGATGATGTTACGTTGCAACCGGTCTATGTTAGCTGGATGCGACTCGATAAGAATTTCTGCGTAATCCGTACACTCCCTTCCACTGCTTTTTCACCACAAGTCTTTATCACCTTATCCGGCTTATGGATCCCAGAACAGGATTCTCTTTAAAGAGGCAACCTCAAATGGCACCAGGGTGCAGCCATATCCTCTCCCACGGATTTCAGCCACCAGTTCCTCATACCGAAGCAGCGTTCTTTCATGGGCCTCTTCAATCGCTTCTTCCCATGCCACTGTCAGTTCGCAAAGCAACAGATGTTGCTTCTCGACGAGATCTGGTCTCAGACCAGGCACAATAACCTCCACTGGCAGTGTAGCATCAGCCAACACTCTCAACTTTCTTGACTCCTCTAAACTGGTCTTCTGCCTTGTGTCAATGGCACCTTGGTTCAGGAAGGCTACCCTTCGCAGCTCCGTCGAGGGTATGCTAGCACTTCTTGAAGCTACTGCCACGACCTCCAGAACCAAGTTATGTCTGAAGGTGTACCAGCCATTCTGTAGCGCCTTTGGGCAGGCTTACAGTATGTGGCGCATATTTCCATAAGCACCACGCAACCGGCAGGAGGGTGACTCCTGCACCCCCCATCTCTTCATATATATATATTTCTGAGATGAGGTATTATGTACAATATTTACATTAGTCGGACTATTGTCCTCATCTTTGTCGCCATATTTGTCACAACGTTTCGGCCGTTGTACGTTCCGGCCTTCTTCAGGTGGTTGGAATTTCGAACTGAACCATTTATTTCTGAACATATGGAGAGAGAAGGGAGATCACCGCCCCCTGTGGGATCATGTTGAGATCATAGACAGGGAACACCATTGGAAAATTCGTAAAATTAAGTATTCAGCACATATGCTAGGCCACAAAAATCTCCTGAGCCGACCAAGCATAGAAATAAATACAATATGGGAACCAGTAATAAGGAGTGCCAGAGAAAAGCAATGATAACAAAGTTGCAATATGAACTCTGGTAAAGACATGCAATGATAACAGCAAAATTGCAATATGAGCACTGGTAAAAAATGATGCTGAAAAACATTAGGTTTATAATAATCAGAAGTTCATACCCAGATGTCCTCAAGGACACATGGCACAGTGGATATAGGCCTTGGTTAGATCCAGTGACAGACCCAAAGAAGGTGAGTTCAATTCCTGTTTAAGGCAGTGCAGAACTTTCAGAGGGAAACTTAGCAGGAGATAACTGACATCCTTCAAACATGGCACGTGGAACTAGAACAGTCTACCCCAGTGACCGAAGGGTTCAGTTCGAAATTCCAACCACCTGAAGAAGGCCGGTCCGAATAATGTAAATACTATATATATATATATGTGTGTAATAAATATTCACATGTCCTTCACCGTTTGTTAAAACTCTGAGTTTCATTCACGTAACAATCGTCAGGTAGAAATTGAAAACTCTTATTATATATATAATCAAGTTTTTGTAGCAGTAAGAGAGTACTACAATAATTTTTCTTTAATTCTCCCAAGCGTTTTCAGTCAATTCCTTTGCCTTTAGTGTTGTTAGTTTTTTTTTTCTCATATTTTGACTGTTTAAGTTGCAATTATTTTGTTTTGAATAAATACATATATAATGTACCAGAAATTTTATCTGGTTAATAAATGGCTAATACTCATTAATCATTAACATGCATTTTTTTGTCTTTATCTTTTCCTGAAATTGAAATGGCGCCTTCTGTGATTTTCAATTCGTTGTTGTTGTGTTCATTTTATCTTGCCAGATGATTCCTGATATTTTGCTGTGGGCTGTCATAAGCATTGCAATGGCGTTTGCCTTGGCAGCTATCATATGGGTCCTCTGCGCTGCATATATGTAAGTCCAAATCCAAAGACGTTTTTTTTTTATCTTGGAATAAAATGTTGAATGAACAAATAATTGTAAGATGATGGTAATACCTATACTCATATGAACACCAGGAATTTTGTTTAAAATAATGAAATGCAATTGACGTACTACTGCCACCGCATTACAATTCTGTATGGTAACAAATACTATGATGGTGATTTTGCAAGCGTAGCTTTGATGTGGGACAAGCATGCAGCATCATGTGGAGATCGAACTCACTACCTAATCATAATAGTTATAGCGAGACAAATATGCTAACCGTTGCATCACGTCCTGATGTCCCCAGCAGATGCCATTATATGCATCAAGTGGTTAGTTCAAATTTCACTTTCTGTCAGGGTTGCCTATTGTTACTTACACATTTAGAGGGTAATTTTTTAAGCACCATGTTACTAAATCTTTAATTAGGTTAATAGTAACGTCTTTTTAGATAGTTGGCAAAACAATGTCGGCTACTACTGATATAAAAATTAATTCAAAATTTAGTAGGGCTTGGCTTCCATATGCAATGACATTAAATTCGTCTGTCGTCCAAATTGTTAATTCTGTCTCTGCTTTTTTTAAAACTTTGTTCTATGCTAGAAGGTGGGAAAACATGAAACGATTTCTAAAAAAAAAACACCGGATACAATGTATCCCTTTCGCCTAAATGTTTTTTTTAAACAACATTGATAAAATCAATATGCCAAAGAATCTGCCGAATAATAAAAAAGCTTTATTTGAGAAATTCAAATAATACTAGAAGGGCCAAGACTACATCGGTCTAAGCAATGTTTTATAAATAAATAAAGGAAATAGTCTGAAAAAAGCAAAAGTCTATGTAATAATGGAAATAAATATTCCACAAATATAGAAAATGCAGAATATCTATTATTATTTTTTTCTTTTAAATGAACCACTTTTTCATTATTAGTTAAACATAAAACATTTAGACGAGAATGAAAGATAGAAAGATCGCTGCCGTTTTGTGGTTCGCTTAACGATCGGGCTTCTCTGGCTGAATTGAAGATGTATCCTTTTGGTTTGAGAGGGAAATAAGTCTCATCAAATACAAACGACACGCTTTTTACGGTAATTATATGCACAAAACACGCACTCCTATATAATATTCACCTCTAAGTTTTGGCTACGAAATTCTAGAGAAAAAAAAACATGTCTCATTAAGCTGGCTACAATTTCTAGAAATTTCTATGCGTATTAAAAGCATGGAAATTTTTAGAAATTGTAGCCGCTTAATTTAACATTTCGTAAATTTTTTCTAGTTTGTATCGAATATGATTAAGAATATTATATTTTCAAAGAGAAACCTTTAACTGAAGACGCCTATCTAGCACAGGGAGGGGAAACGCATTGTCTGGAAAAGGCTTTTCTACTTTGTTTAATTATCTCCACACAGTATTTAAAGAAAACGCACAGACATATCAAAACAAAAATGAAATGAAAATAAGCTCGCCCGAGAAGAATAAAATTCATGAATAAATACACATTGCAATGGCGACTTTAACGAAACAGTTGAGAATTTCATCACGCATTTTTGTTATATACAACAGCGTAGCTGACTAAAATATGCTTAATATCTATGTAGATATTTGTAAAACAAATACAGATTTTGTTATCGATTTAAACTCAACTACAGTTTATTATACTATTCTTTGTTATAGATTAGTTCGATTGGACTAGAAATATAACATACTGTCAGTCGTACCATCTCGCAATTGGTGACGCAATTGTCCAGAAAAAATGTTACATTTTTTTAAATTCACACATGAAAATCCTTTAAGGACTTCTAAAGACTTAGCAAATCATTTTTGAACGCAGAGATAAATTAGTATTAATAATACAATTAGTATTATAAACTAATTAAGTGCGATCGATTCGATGGGTCATATTGACGACTGATCTCAAAAATGGCTTACAATCTACTGTTAACTGGGGCAAGTAATGGCTTGTGAATTTTAACGACTCCAAAACAAAACTGCTCTTTAGTAATCATCTGAGAGAGCCCTTTCTGCCGAATATGGCCGATGCTAACCCCCTGGAGAGTAACTCGTTGAGCCTTCTCGAAGTGGAAAGATTTTATTGAATATTTATAAGTCTACCATTGGTTCATGCTTAGAATATTGCTGTCAAGATGGTCCGATACACCTGCTATATATTTAGAGATTCTTGATAAATCCAAATAAAAATTCACAATATTATTGGTCTTGACCTGGCATCTCTGTTTCAGTCCTTTTCCCACCGCCGTAACGTAGTTTACTTGTGCCTTTTCTGTAAATACTTTCATGGTAATTGTTCTGATGGACTTTCCTCTAGGGTACCTAAACTTTATGAATTTAAGCACAGTACTAGATTGCCGGCAAGGTCTCATTAATTTACAGTTGCTAGATGCAACCGTAGTTTCTATGTTGACAGTTTCTTCTCTCGAATTTCTCACCTGTGGAACTCTCTTCCGACTTCTAACTTCCAACTCAACTTTGATGTTCAAAAATGTAAATGCAATGTCAATCGTTATCTTTTTTCTTCTTGATTCCTCCTATTTTTTTGTTCTTTATCCTTAATAATGTTTCTTTTTTTTATTCTTTTACACTTAGTGGCTTTACTGCCTTGCTTGGGGTGAAATGATGAACAAATCAAATTTAGAAAACTAACAATATAAAGTTCTATTGGGCATAAAATGGATATTCCTTTTTTGTTGAGATTAAATTATAAACTGATCACCCATTATTTCTACATATTAATTTAATAAAAAAACAAAATACATTTAAAAACTGCCATACGAAAAATTTTTAAGGTTTTCACAAAACACGCCATTATGTTATACGGTAAAAGAAAACAAGCCAAATAATGGTAATTACAAATTAAATTTATTTTTGTAATAAGAGGGATGGCTGATAAATTCTCGGCTTGATCAACTTCCAAAGCAACATGGAATTTGGGAGTGGGATTAAAAATTTTTTCAGATCGCCCATTTACTAAGGGAGACAACTTATTAAAATTATTACATCTGGGTGACCTCCCTTGATGTTTTTTTTTCTTTCTTCTAAGTATACTAACAGTTTTAATTTGCAGCTAAAATATCAATATTTTCTACGATTACATACAGCTTAAGGTTATTAAATGTCTATTAGAAATAAATTTACACAAGTGGAATAAACACAATTGATAAAAGTAATAAAGCCATACAGAATAATGAAGGAGTGAGAGAGAGAGAGAGAGAGAGAGAGAGAGAGATATTAAGATATAAGATGACCGAGAAACTGTAGAAACAGACACTTCCATGGTTTCGGTCAAATCAATGGCGTAGCTAGAGTAAACGCCACCCGGGGTGGTCCGCTCAAATGTCACCCCAATGACCCCGATTCACCCTATGCTGAATGGTTAGCTGTAGCGAAATTTTCATACATGCTCTACCTCTACTTTACTCTACTGTTTATATGTATGATCCAAGACAAAATCCAATACCATAAAATAATCAGTTCAAATCAAAAGATTTTTAAAATGCAACTGTTCATTTTCAGAACAACTAAATACAAAACACGGCAATACACAAAGGAATAACATTCGATACTATGGTCTTAGAATGAATGTTTTCTTGTTTTCATTGTGGCAAACTGGTCAATGACATCGACAAAATCTGTTTGTCTTGTAAGCTCGTTTTCAATGGACAGCACAGCCAGATCCGACAGTCTCGACTGGCTCATGGTTGACGTAATTTTCTGTTGCTAATTTTCCGGTGTCCAATTTTCCGTTGCATCATTTTCTGGGTACCATTTAATTATCAATGATGTTTGAAAGTATTTTTCTTGACAAAAATGTTCTATTTAATTTTTAAGCATTTTTCGGAACATTGTACATCAACTGCATTCTTTTAAAGGTTACCTAGAGAATTTATGCAAAGTTTATTTTTTGTTTTTCTTTATATAAGTAAAATAAATTTACATCGTATTTTGATGTTATTATGATTTTAGTTTTAGTGATAATTTAAAAACAATAAATATTTATCATTAGTACCAATAATGGAAAATTAAGTTAAAAATTTAAAAGAATCGTTTTTGGAATCGGAAAATAGTCACAAATTTTTCCGATTTCGATACCGTTTCCGATACCCCCAAAATTCCGATTTTTCCGATTCTCGATTCCGATTCCGATTAATCGTCCCAACACTAGTAGATATATTCAAAAGTATATCGCTGACTCAATGGAAAATTGTATCTCAGCGAATTGATGCACAGGCAAGACTGAAATTGTTGCACTTTTGGCTTCGTATTTCGCTTTGTTGTTATTAATGATGCAGAGTTAAAACACCATATCATCCGATAAAATGTTACTACAATGTCTTTTGTTAGTAACCAAGATTGTAGCAACTGAAACACATGAAAGCTGAAAACATTGCTATTCTTCCTACTCACAAATTTCCCGACAATTTATTAGAAAATTTCTGACGGGGGGACAAAACTGAGGGGTCATAAATTATTTCTGGGGGGTCATATCCCCGCCTGCGAAACCCTGTGTCTCCACCACTGTTTTCAGACTATTTTTGGCACCTTAGCCTGGTTGAAAGATGTTGTTGGGGGTGACATTGTGTCACCCCTACTGTGCTGGCACCCGGGGCGGTCCGCCCTCTGCCCCCACCCGCCTAGCTACGCCATTGGGTCAAATAACGGTTATCTAGTCCGGTTCTGTGTGTAAACCACAAAAGCTGTTAGTAAACACAAACAGAATCCATATATATATATATATATATATATATATATATATATATATATATATATCAAGCACAATATAGCCATATATATTTTGTATGTGGTGTTTTACTACAGCACAGAAATATGGGAAAATGAAATAAAATAATAATAAAGAAATCAAAAAAGAAAATGCATTTTCCCATGATGCTTGTAGTAAAGGAACCGGAAAATGTTTTTGGTCATCTGCACAATTTTATGACCCCATTTCCGGAAAGAACAGAACCTTTCTCTTTCCGCTTTCCAACACAGAGCCTCCGGGCGTGTTTTACAGTTCTACTCATCAAGTGGTCGTTCCAGCTCAGCGCAAAGCTGACTTAAGCGCGACCATTTTAGCAACTATTAACCTAACTTAATTCAGGACCAGAAAAAAACGGACATAACAAAAAGACATTAAGAACTTGGTTTCCCTCCAATTTCTATAAAAAAGAGAATAAACGGTCTGTAGTACAAACCCGAGTTTATTGCTTCTATATAATACGCACACGCCAACTTTAAATTCCATAAATTAAATTCTAAATTCTTTAAATTCTATCTCGATAGATTGAAAGTATACTGATAAAAAAAGACAAGGAAAATGAAAGAAAAGTATATTTGTTTTCTTTTCTCTCCCCACCCCAGGGCTGAGATGCCGACGCAGATCAGCGTAGAAGCCATTTGTTTATAGTCAATCTTAAGCAATGATATTTTCTTAAGTATCCAGTCAACTCCGCGCGGAAGAATAGATTATAATTTAACGACCTTAAATGCCAATAACGGCGAGCGTAGAAGCCACCTTTTTTTTTACTCAAATTAATATTAAGTGATGGTATTTTCTTAAGAGCCCAGTAGACTCTGGGCAAAAGAATAGTTTACATTTTAGCGAAGGGACTCTGGCCGAAATTCGTCTGGTTGATAAAGATTTAGATTTTAAGACCGACATGTTTCGAACGGGAAACAGAAATGGAATTGTAGTTATATTTTTTGTCTGCCTAAGACGCGATCAAATTTATGAAAACAAAGGGATTAGCTCTTTTTGTCGCTTGTTGAACAAATCGAAGGCGGCAGATGACAGATCCCAGATGCAACCGACCGTCAGGGACGCTATAAGAATTCCTTTTGATGGAAATAACGGATGATAATTGAATTTAGCCATTTGGGCTAGACCACCGCTAACCCCTGAAAATAGGCTTGCTCGGGGGACGGGGAGAGAGGTAGAGACACAGGGAGAATTTCAAGGGGGATGGGGAGAGAGGTGGAGGCAGAGGTAGAATTTCAAGGAAGGCGGATGGTGAGAGTCACCCACATGAGAGCGATATTCTGCCACCATCACTCTTGGGGGAGAGATCTTCCCAAATTTGGTCAAGGCAGTCAATTTCCCAAAACCAGACAACGACAGGCTCTGTATAGATTTTGGGATTTCCCCGAGAACCCACAACTACCTTATGCCCCCGACCCCCGCGTTTAAATACATTTTTATTTCTATTTAATGTTTAGTAGTTGATTTGTTTTTTTGCCTTGGTGTTATATATTGAGGTATTAATTATAGGGGGTGGGGATAGGTTCCTCTTTTGGTATTTGTTCGTGGGGCGGGGTATACATATTTGCATGTACATAAACACAAACGCGTTTAGGTGTGTATGTTTAATATTTACTCGTTTATTTATTTATTAATAAATTAAGCTTATATTATATTCATTTATTTATTTTATTTAAAGTTTATATTATATTTATTTTATTTATATTCACTTTTTTATTTTTAATTAGAGCTTTGATGCTGTATATTTTATTTTTGTTAATAAAACCGTAAGAATTTCTTTCTATTAGCTTGTCAACTTCATTAGGCGTCTTGCGGATTTGAATCAACCCACAACAAAGAAAAAGGCGAAAAATATAAGATATTTCTGTTTTCGTGTTTTTTACAACTCAATTTTTCTTAGAGTATGTGAGTGTTAAAGTTCTTATATTTATCAGTATACAGTCGTTTGTTTGTAATTGTTTTCCAAGATGAAAAAAATAAATGTGATTTCTTCGTGTTTATGCATGAGAAAGAAGAGGTAAGAGTAAGTGCGGAGGATAGTGTAAGTGTTCCGTAGCTTGGTGAGGAAAACAAGTGAATGTGTAAGATGGTTTCTTCGAGCATTGTGACCTTTAGCCATTTTTGCCATTGTCTCTCCTTACACATTTGTCTGTCGAGAAATTTTGCTTAAATAACCTTCAAAGGGATCACAAAGCTTGTTCTTTATTATTGGCGGGAACTCGTCCCGTTGGTTGAAAAATGTTAAATATTTATTTTCAAAGCGTTAATTTATTAACCCAATGAATGCGCAATCCCCCGATTCAGAATCCTTTCTCTTTTTATCTTTTGGTGTTTGACTGTCTGGCTATTTTCGTCTCCGCTCCACAGACACATCCATTTTCTTTTTTCTCTCAGTTACAACAAAACTGAATCACAACGAAACAATCAATATAAGCACATTGGAAATGAACAAGAAGAGAATGAGATTCTCCTGCCGGAATCTTCGGTGGATGTTCAGAATTATGATTCGAGCAATATGGACGACAAATACGGAAATATGGACGACGAATACAGAAATATGGACGACGAATACAGAAAAGAAAAGTATGTAAAAAATAACAAATTTCTAATTTTCTCAAAAAAAAAAAACTCTAACAATTTTAATATTAAACTAAAGAACACGTTACAGATATTTGTTTAGTTTTATCTTAGCACAAGGCCGCATAGATTGGCACTAAGTGAGAATGGAAATCAACTAATGGTTAGCAGCTCGAATTGAGAAATCAGAGAACCGAGTTCGAATTCCAGTCAGATCCATTACATTCACTTACGTGCTAATACCCTTGGAGAAGGTATGTCTTCTTTTCTTCTCCCCGCAGCTATGGGTAAATAGAAAGACCCTTGGAGAAGATATGTCTTCTTTTCTTCTCCCAGCAGCTATGGGTAAATAGAAAGACCGGGTTCTATAGCCTTGGATGGCAACTGATCTACCGCAGAAAGAAATGACAACCTACTGCGAGAAAAAATCTGCCTCATCAGTCATGTATCGAAAGATACATGATCGCCTAAGCGTGTATCACACATGGCACATAACTGACTGAACAACGGTCTACAATGCAAGCTCTAAAATCATCCCCTACTATTGAAACTCAAAACGAGTTTAGATTAATTGAACGAAACGCGTAATGGTCTGCCTTACGCATAAGATAATTGCGACTCCCCTCACTTTCAGTGTTTTGATCTTAGGTATGAAAATAGAAATTTGAATGCTGATTTTCAAGGCAAGAAATCTGTCACGACTTAACACTTTCTTCCATCTCCTGACTTAAGCAAACCAGTAGCCGACACAATGCCAAATAACTATATAGATATTTCACCGTGCATTTCTCAATGACGTCATAGACTTCCAAAATGTTAAATTTTTTCTACATTTGAAAATCTGGGACAACACGATCTTCTTAGCAGTTTATTTTTCTGCTGTCTGTGACTCTGCACCAAGTCAAGCCATCTTTATATGCGATAAAGCATGAACAGAAAACGCTGAAACTGGAGGCGTCTCTGTAAACATTTATTTCATCAGGTAGCGCCAGCAGACGTGGCTGAGCGATTATAAACACAGGCAAAATCTGTATCCACTTTATACTGATACGCTTGCGAAGGGTTATGAATAGAAAGTAATGATGCATATTAAATTGAAAGTCACCACCAATAATTATCTAAATTTGTATAATATATATATATATATATATATATATATATATATATATATATATATATGTCTGTCTGTGTGTGTGTGAACATTGAAGTCAACACTCAAAGGCGACAGGCTGTTTCATGCTGGACGCAATCGTCAGATATTTATATTTACATACGCTCTATCTGTGATATTGAACAGTTTATCCCTTAAATATAGCACTCCTTAAAACTATATATATATATATATATATATATATATATATATATATATATATATATTTAAGGAAAAGCAACAAATCACGAAAATGCAGTAATGGTTTAAATTTATCCAGAGAAAAAAGTCTCATTGATAAATTTATAATTGTTTGTAAATTTATACCATTTATATCTCCGGTCGGATGAGACTTACTGGTCGAAATAAATCATGATTTATTACCGCATTTTCGTGATGTGGTGAGCTTTTCTTTACATATAGCAATATATATTGTAAACATTGAGCTCTCTACGGATCTATATTTTTAATAGTTTATATTAAAAAGAACCGATTGGATTATCCTTTCCACTTACGGATTTGGTAATATCTATCTATCTATCTATCTATCTATCTATATATATATATATATATATATATATATATATATATATATATATGCAGCGTATCTTCATTCAAGGATGTTTGATTGAATAATCAAGAAATATTATGTCTATTTTGTTTTGATTTAATTCCCTCAAAATCACGAATCAATTTCTTAGTGCTGTTGCAAAAATGATTTAGAAAGACGCCGTAGTTTCGGTTATTTCTTTTATTTTCCCAAGTACTTTTATTCTCATCCAAGATCCCCTTCAGTGGGGGAGGGGTTAAAAAAATTCACAACCATCAATTACATTAATTTTCTCTGTTAGCAATCCAACCCTTAACCAACTTAATGATTCGCAATAACTCTTCTCCGTCAATTAATGTTCTGCAAAAGACCAACATTATATATCATTTTTAATCTCCTTTGAGAGATTGTATCTTTGATAAAAAAAAATGTTTTGAAATGCTCAAAATGTCAGTTTTTCTGCAAATTGCATTTTGAGTATTTTAAAACATTAATAATAAAAAATATAAATTAAGTTACCACCGATACATATTCTTAACGTTAATTTTTAAATTGACTATTACTATAAGCGTTTAATGTGCATTTACAAAAAATTCGCAACTATCAATTACATTAATTTCTTATCTTAAGAATTCACCCCTGAATATGATCTTGGATGTAAGTGAAAGTACTTGGGGAAAAATAACGGAAATAATAAAAACTACGACGTCTTTCTTAATCAGTTTTGTAACGGCACCATGAAATTGATCTGTGAATCTGACAGGATTAAATAAAAATATATAGACTTAATTTGTCTACATTATTCTACCAAGCAAACACACACATTTATATATATATATATATATATATATATATATATATATGTGTGTGTGTGTGTGTGTGTGGAACACACTTAAAGAATTGTAGAAAAATGCAATAGATTTAAGTACTGTCACTGAAAATCTCATTTTTTTTGTACAAAACCATCTCACACAGAAATCGACTGATTTTTATGCATTACAGATTTGAATTTCTAGATTCGTATTTATAAACCAATCGATGACGTCATATGAAGACCTTTATACATAACGACAGAAAGAGAGAGTTGAAATTTCTATGGCACATTGAAAGGAAAATGGACTTGGAAAATTTGATACACACAAGGCAAGACGGACAGAGGAAAACAACGCTTAACCGACTTAGCGAGTTTGAGTAAATGGATGTCGGAACAATGTTTAGGAGATTTAATAAAAACACAAAATTTATTAAGAGCTACAAAGGAAATTGTAGAGAGCCATGATCGACAGCTTCCTGAAGAGACAAGGCACATACACGATAAAAACATATACACAGTCCTGACGATGACACATGTGAGTCGAAAGCTAAGACACAGCCTTAATTTTGAATATTTTGTGCTTCAGCAATAGCCAAGTGTGCGGAAATTTATTCGTAATTTAGAAAAGAAGATATTTAAATTGACTATTAAATAAATTTGAATAGAACATGTTTAATAGAACAAATGTTGACTAATTTCACTAAATGATGTAAATTATGTATTGGATAAAAAACATTGGAAATTTCTCTTGTTACTAAGAAGTGTTTAATTTTTTTTTCTTTCTAGATTTCTTTCCACGCAGTCGGTATACAGCATCGGCAGTGACAGTAACATGTGTGACACATCTGACGAAGAGATGACAGAATTGTTGTCCCTGACAAAGGGGTCTATGCAGAAAACTAGCAAGTTAATCCCACGGAATTAGAACCTTGTTAAAAATCGAACAGTGCCAATCATTTACTTCTTTGCTACAAATAGTAAAATCGAACTATTTTTTAGATCAACTTGATTATATACACATTTGTGCAAATTAATTAAACAACCTCTGTAGTTTCCTTTCTTTTATCATCCGCTCAGTCTTAGGCACCTTGGAATGACAGGGTGTAATCGATTTTTATTTTTCCTCGGATTAGGTCATTTGCAGTGGTGTGCCGTAATATTGCTTCATCCGTGATTGCATCAGATTTTCATCACGCCCAGACACTATTTTCTCGACTGTCGATTAGTTGTCCTACGGCCATTGTCTGCGATGGAATTTACTCCAAGGAAGCGTACGAAACTTGTAACTTTGCACGAACACAATGACAAGCCTTACCAGAGAGCAAATCAAAGTAATATCGACTGGCACGGAAACTCTCCTGATTTAAGTCCCATCGAGAATCTGTGGTCAATCTTCAAAGAAATACTTCGTTGAATGGGCATACGAAGTACTAGCGTATGTATTGGGTCATGTTTCATTGACAAATACGAAAAAATGTGAATAATAACGGAATTATTCGTTTTGTTTCAATTAATTTGCACAAGGGTATATATATATATATATATATATATATATATATATATATAAGAGAGATAGCCAGAGAGAGAGAGAGAGTCACCCCCCCCACAAATCCCGAGTTAATACAAGTTACCTTTGGAAACTACGATCACAAGTAATCAAGGCACTATTTTTCATTTTTGAAGAAACCACATCCTCTTCAGTCAATTTATTCTCTCGATAGCTGCATATCTGCTCAGTAGCGTATCCGAAACGTAAACAAAGTAATTTCAAAAGAATTAATGGATACATTTTTAATACAACATATTTATTACTTGAAACTTTATTATAGTAGAAGCAAGATCGATCCCAGTCAAAGAACACGTTTTCTTTACTAAGATTTCTCGAATACTCAGACCACTAGACACAGTTTAATAAATAATGATGGGACCTTTATTTCAAGCACGAAATGTTGGATTAAAAATAAATCCATTACTTATTCAGAAAAAAATTATATATATATATATATATATATATATATATATATATATATATATAGACAGAAAAAAGAAGAAAAAAGCCTTTTCTCACTTAACTCATATTTACTTCGGAGTTTCGTGGTTATATAGGTATAACCACTCGCCTGAACAGAGTCATTTCTCGATTCTCCTGTACTTTTATTGGTGTGAGTGTGTTATGTATTCGCTTCCGATGGTTGTTGACAGATCTACCTCTTCCTTCCGCTTTTTTACTTTTTCTCTTTTATTTTTTCTCTTTTATTCTTTCTTCACCTTCATTGGTCTCTGGCTTATATTTGGCAATTTAAATTAGGTTATGGTTCGAATTTTGTGTGTGTATGTATGTTTGTGCAGGTACGTGTTTATGCACGTGCCCATGTATGTGCACCCATACACACATAGAAGAAGGTATGCTCGTGTAGGAGCGTCTAACTGTGTGTTTGTGTGTGCTTATGTTAACAGTGTATGTATTATTAGTGGGTTGTATTATTTAACTTTATTTAGTGTTTGATACTCGTGTTTAGTTGTAAGAAAGAACAAGCCAATTAGTTGTTGCTTTTGTATTTTTCATTGCTTTTTGTTTAGTGTGCACTTTCAGACAACTAAGCAGTACAATTAACAGAATGCCACAAAGCATGTATACCTTAAACCGCAGAAAAAACAATTTTCCCTTCATAAACTGTATTTAAAATTAACACTATATGTGTGTGTGTGTGCATGTGAGTGTGTTTGTATGCACGTGCGCATGTGTGTATAACTGTATGTATAAAATAAAAGAAACACTCCATCATATGCTGCACGTGCAGCATCTATCTATCTTTCTATCTCGATTTGTTCATATCTATCTCTCTGTATATATATATATATATATATATATATATATATAGATATAGATATAGATATATATGTGTGTGTGTGTGGGGGTTCATATCTATCTATCTACGATTAATACCAATAAAAATTTGTCACTTATTTGATTGATGTTACATTCTACACCTCTACTCCAGAGTTTGGTAGACATGTAACCTTTCTCCCCACTTGTCAAGAGGAAAATTTCACTAACATTTTGCACACAGAAAGTCTCTCTCTATCTCTCTATCTCTCCATATATATATATATATATATATATATATATATATATATATATATATATATATTGAAGATTGCTGAAATTTGGTTCAATGTTTTGTTCGAAAGAATTTTTTCTCGTCATAATCTTACACATTTATATGTCGACTATTCGTTCATGCATTGAATATGGCTGCCACTTCTAGTCTGGTGCTTTTGTTATGTATTTAGAGATTCTTAATAAAATACAAAAAAGAATTATTGGTCCTGTCCTGGCATCTCAGTATTGTCTTCTGAATATATTTAGTAGAACGTTTTATATATATGCATGCGTGTGTGTGCGCGCGTGTGTGTGTGTGTGTGTGTGTGTATTTGTGAAATATTTAATATTAATGATAAGCATAATATTTGATGAATTCTTTTCCAGTACAGTCCCGCTCACTTTACACATGACGTCACTTAAGGCTTGATTCAGACGCTAAGTTCACTATAAAATACCAGGATGTAGTCAAAGGAATTTTGTCTACCACACTGACAGCACATGGTTCTTGATAATCACCGAGACGGTTGAAAGGACTTGAACAAAAACAAGAGACCTAACATGAACTTCAGACATTTTAATCAGTTTCGATCCCGGTAAGGGAATATTAAATAATTAGAAAATACAATAAAAACGCTGAAATATCAAGACCTTCCGTCGAATTTAGTGAAACTTGTTTGGATGAAAATTTGTTGAACAAATGGTATATTTACGCATCTATAACTATACTATATTCATAAGTTAAAATTGCTCAATATCAGGGATAGAGTTTTATATATATATATATATATATATATATATATATATATATATATATATATATATATATATATAAGTGAACATTGAAGTCAACACTCAGAGGCGACAGCTGTTTCATGCTAGACGCAATCGTCTAGCATGAAATAGCCTGTCGCCTCTGAGACTAGAATATTCACTTTTATATTTACATACGCTCTATCTCTGATATTGAGCACGTTATCCCATAAATATACCAGATCTTAAATCTATATTTCTTTATATATATATATATATATATATATATATATATATATATATATATATATATATATATTATATATATATATATATATGTATGTATGTATATATCCGTCACTTTTCGCCCTGTGATGAATTTTATCAAGGAAAATTTACAGGTATATTTAGTTAAATCTGAAATATTACACACGTATACACACAGACACACACAGACACACAACAGACACGCAGACACACCCACATATATATATATATATATATATATATATATATATATATATATATATATACAATGGTGCTGGAGGGAACTAATATTCGTACACATTCAAATTGTTAATTTATTGTATGTCCAACTAATGAATAAACATACTTTTCATATAATTAACTGTACACAGATGTATAATAACCGCATAGAAAACAGAAAAAAAGTTTGATTTAATAGAAATAAATTCCATTTATCCATTTTAATGAGTGAAAAAAGTATTCGTACAATACAAAAAAAGAATACATAATCTTCTTTTAATACTTTGTAGAATAGCTATTATTCATTTCTACAACAATCAAACCTCTTTTTGTAGTTCTGAATTAATGATTTGTAAATTTTACTTCGTATTTTGTTCCATTCTTCTTTGCATATGGTCTTTAGATTCAGGATGTTTGTTGGAACTCTCGATTGGATTTGAATTTTCAAATAACAACATAGATTTTCGATTGGGTTTAAATCTGTGGACTGACTTAGCCATTTCAAGATATTTACATTATTTTCAACAAGCCATTTCTTCATAGATTTTGCAGTGTGCTTAGGATCATTATTTTGTTGGAAGATCCAATCAGGAGGAAGTTCAAGATTTTCTACTGAAATCATTAAATTTGTTTCCAAAATATTTTGATATGCTGTGGCATCCATTCTACCATCTATTACTGATATGCTGTCACTACGTTTTGCAAAAAACCATCCCCAAACTATGATGCTGCTACTACCAAATTTCAATGTTAGAACTGTGTTCTTTTGTTTGAAGGCATCGTTAAAATATATATATATATAACTATAAATTAAATAAATAAATATAGATACAAGCAACCATATATGCGTGCAATCACGCGCATATATAAATTTGCAAATGATTTTTTATTTTTATTTTAGGGGGTTAACAAAATATTTCTCAATTTGGTATTACAGACGTATTTTTGATAATAGTAGCGCATGTAACAAACAGTTCATCATCATTATAACTATCAGATGATTTTACTGAACATGAAACTTCCAGTCGTACTTTCGAACGTAAGATAATATGTATATTCATTAATATATATATATATATATATATATATATATTATTTTATTAAAGCTTCATCAGAGAATGAGATCTCAGTGAACCCTTGCGTCTTAGGGGCTTTTATTATGTTTTTTTGGTGTGACATATATATATATATATATATATATATATATATATATATATATATATATATATATAAAGGTGCAAATTATAATTTATAAATTCATGAATCATTCATGCAAAAAACAAATATAGAGGTTAATGATTTAAATGGTGAGAATACATCTTCGTAAACAATAGAAATAAGATACATCAACCCCGAAACTGTATATGAATGTTTTTTGTATGAATGATTCATGAATTTATAAATTATAATTTGCACCCTTAATTGAAATTAAAATCACTGATCCAACGTGCAACTTTCGGATAATAAGTGTGACATTACTGTAATTATTGAACAATATAGTTCATGCCACATAGACGGAAAATCTACCAGTAAAAAGGAATTT